ATCGCCCGGTCCGCGATTACGTGCCGACACGATCCCCTTAACGCGAATATAATTATCCGCGTGTAATAACTGCACGCGCGGAAGTGTCTTCTAATCGAGACACGTCGCGTAACGCGGGCGCATTTTTAAGATAGGAGACGTCTATCTGTGAAAAGATCGTCAAGTTATTGTTGTGTCGGTAATTCCTTCCTAGAAGGATATCATTAAAGGTGTTCTTTTTTTCTTTTCGTGTCAAGTCTATTTGCTCCGTTCGTCTAGATTATCTATGTTAATACATTTTCAAATGAATGGAAACGATGGCGTGGGAATGATAGCGCGAGTTTAGCGTTTGCGTCATTTATCCACGATAATTTCGCGTTTGAATACGCACTCGTATACCGGCGATAACCGCCGGTCACTTGTATCTCACCGTCTCTGTCACTTCTGGCGCGAGCTGCTATCGCTAATAAACCCTACGCGCCCGCGATTATGCTCGACCTGCTGCTAATTAGCCGGTTTCACGCAACAACCTAAATCTAATGGCCGACTTCCATCTGTTATTCTCGCGAACGACACGTGCGGACATGGATTAGTTGTTACGTCGAATGTACGCACAAAAAATTGTCATGGAAAATAACGAGGGGAAATAGATAATTTGTCACGTCGAAGTTGTCGCGTCAAGTGCGGCGGATCGCGCGACGTCGGCGATAGACCGTTTTAATTACCAGTCGATTTAATTAACACACTTAACGAGAGTCCGCGCATACGTTGCGTCATACGACGGAAGAACGGTACGTGTGCGGGATCTGCATTTGAGCGTAACTACGCGGATTGTTTCTTAAAATTTACCCTGAAAATCGTGTAATCGTGGTAACAGCATGGCGTCTGGGAGAATTTTATGGGAGTCTTTTTGAAATTTTACCATACATTTTAGAAGTAATTATACTTAGAATACATTTTACTACTAAAATGTATGGTAAAGTTGCAAAAACCTCTCGTACAATTCTTCAAAATGCCATCGTTGTTCTACGATTACATGATTTTCAGAGTAAATTTTAAGAGAAAATCATGTAATCGTAGGACAACGTGGCATTTTGAAGAATTGTGCGAGAGTTTTACTAGTGAAATGTATGGTAAAATTTCAAGAAACTCTCATAAAGGTGCGCCATGTTGTCCCACGATTGCATATCGGGGGAAATTTTAAAAGAAAATTCTCTCTGCGTACCTTCCACGATAAGATCCGCATTTGATACACGTCGATAATAAATATCCGTTTAAGCCCCCGTCGAACTCGGAGTCTGTCCGTGCGAAAACCCGGTGAGCATCTCAGATTGAAATGTCATTGCGGGTCTTGGCCAAGATGTGGCCTGATCGCGCCACTTTATTAAGACGTCATTCGAAGATCTCCGGAAGATTCAATTTACTAAGCTCCAAGGCGCGTTCGGCGTGCCGCCACTCGTGTCCTTTTATACATCGTCGGTGCTATTCCCCCCCAAAGTGCCCTCGTATCACGCGACAACCGAGGATATCTCGAGCCAAACGCGCGCCGCGGCGCGACGAAGAACGGAGGGTGTTTCGACCACGATCAGCGAGTTAATCGTCGCGATCACGAAATGTGCGCGTCTACATTACCGGATATACCCGGTGCGCGTTATCTCGGAAACGTGATTCGGATCTGCCTCATGTCGCGACGCGCTTTATACTCAGCAAACATGTTTGGCATCGCGCGACGGCGCGAGTCGCAAAAGAAGTCCCCGGCTTCTTGGAAGGCATTGCCGAATTTTACCGTCCGCGAATTACCGAGCCCGAGTCCCCGGAACCTATGATCGTCCGCAAATTGCGGCATCGCGATCTCCTTGAGCGCCTTAGGAAGAGGGTCATTACGTCTTTCTTTTTGTTTCACCGACAGACAAATGTCGGACATGCAGTATCGGCCAAAATTGTATCACCTTTCGATTTTTTTTTTAGCATAACTGCACGGAGAGAATTTTCTTGTGAAGTTTATCCTGAAAATCATGTGATCGTGAGACAGCACGGTATTTCAGAAGAACTTCATGAAAGTCTTTTGAAATTTTACCATACATTTTAGAAGTGATTATACCTGGTATACATTTTGCTACTAAAATGTATGGTAAAATTTCAAAAAACACAGAAAATTCTTCAAAATGCCACGCTGTCCCACGATTACATTGATTTTCAGGGTAAATTTTAAGAGCAAATTCTCCCCGTGTGGTTTTAAAGTGCACGAATGCAAACTTCGAAAATCATGGTGCATTTTGTCCAATTTCACTGGCCTTCGTGTACGAGATGCACCTGTTATCGGGCGTCTGCGATATTGTGAGCACATTCGATGCACTTTGATGAAAGAAAAACTAAAGGTCATATAATTTCGATTGGTGCTGTATGTATTTCTTAAACGATTCTTCTCTGGGGAAAATGTCGCGTGGACGTTGGGATGGCGCGACGCCACACTGAGAAAACAGTCTCTGAAAATTTATGTGTGGCATATATGCCTCAAATAATGTTTATTTTAGCGAAATAAACATTATATGCCACAAATAAATTTTCGAAGACTTTTCTCTCAGTGCAAAATTCGCGAGGTTGCACGCGGAATTGTTAGGTACCCTCTAGAAATTATATACGATACGAGATAAGCGCTGCTGACTTAACTGAAATTTTGCCCAGCACACTCCTAAGATTGTGTGTGTACTAGTCAAATCGTTGCACGATAAAATTCGAAATTTTAACAGCACAGCCGTTTTACGTCGCCCGTAAGTGAACTGAAAAAAAATTCGATTTGCTAAAAAAACCTTTTGCTGCCATAACTGTAAATTTCTAAAGCACAGCAAACGGTTTGCTGTTGCACCTTGTACAATAGGCACAGCGGCCAAATATTTAGCTGTCACAACTAAATATTAGCTGTCCACATTTTACAACTGTAATTTAGTTGCCGCGTGCAGTTTTTAGTAACGGCAGCTACACTTTTTCTTTCCGCGTGTCGGAAGGTAGTTTCCTCGTGGCAGCTCGAAAGAGTATGCAGAATTATAAAGAGCACGACGCAACGATATCGTCTACGGCTTTATCTTACGTGGTATTAACAAGTCGATACCCTTCATTGGTCGCCTCGCTTAAAAAACCGTGACGTATCTGCAAAAAGCAGTTTCGCAATGCCCCTGCCAACCTGATTCCTTCCAGGTATCTACACCGAGTAATCGTTCGGTTAAAAATACATTACATATCGCGAGTAAAATATTTTCAGAAGTACAGCGTGTGCCACAAACTCGACGATGCGCTTTTCCATTTGCATTTAAACGCGCGACGCGGAAAAAAACGAAAAAGCTCGATAATTCCGCGCGCACCAGGGAATCAATTCTGAATCTGACAATATAATGAAAACGCTGAGAGTGAGTAGCTTGGTCTCTTTCTAACTGTTCCCTTGGAAAGAGACGAAGCCGCGCATTTTCAGCATCTTCATTATATTGTAATGATATAAAATTGATCCCCAACTCGGGAGGCACGCGGAGAGGCGAATCCTTTAGATGAGAGATGCCGGCGAGGACGCGTCATCGATCGGGCGAGTGAAAAGTTTCCGTCGCAAATCAACGTACCACCACCATTAGCATGTGCATACATGCACGTGTAGAGCACGCTGCAAAGGTCACGCTCATTGTGCTCGCGGAACACGCTAATTTAGAGCCCAACTTGCCACGCGTCTGATTCCGGTACGAGGTTCATTGCTAAGGTTATTTCCCTAAATGCCCGCGTCACGCGTGCCCGCTAATGCAATGTACGCGTACGTAATCCCGTCGTTTTAAAGCGACACAGATTCCTCGGTGCGTCAGAGGCTGCGATTATACCGTTTAATCGCGCCGCCGCGCTTCACGAGAAGAAGGAAAGCGCAAAATTTGAGAAGCGGCACTTACAATTACATCTGGACAAATTGTCCGCACCGGTTCCCACCGTGGTCGCGTCCGTAATCGCCTTCTTCCGTTAATAATTAATTTTCCACAATTTACTTCTCGAAATAGTTGCACTCCTTTCACCTTCTCTGCTTCTCGAAATGAAGCAGCGACCAACGCACGCGCGAGAAACAGCGCGCCGATCTAATTTCGGACTATTTTTCTACGTACGTTTCCGCAGCACGTGGTTCGCGTCCACGTTGAAACGAAATAGGAATCGCTTGGGCGAAGTCCCAAATAACAGGAATGCTGCACAAACAATGCTATGAGCGCTTTGACTTGTAAATTGGAAGATACCACGTGCTTAAAAAAATAATGTATTTCTGACAAGTTAACGTCGCGTTGGAAAAAATATGTCTTGCAAGAGTTGTACGAGGAGGAATGTCGCATAAAATTTAAATATAGATAGTGCAAGCTCTGAAATATGGAAACGCAGAGCGATTCGTGGCGGGGCGAATTTTATTATCCGGTAGTCCATTGAGGAAATTTACGAATGACTGATACGCATGTGACGCGACTACTTTTTACTGCCGCACTGAATGACGTGCCTCGTCGTTGTCGACGACTCATTTGTAGTCTCGTGACATTTCCGCGAGGCGTCTGATACCCAAGACCGGTCAGCTGTCGAAATTTACTCGTCTAACGTCGTAGAGACGCGACTTTCTGACAAATAGACAGTAACGGACATTTAAATGGGCGTAAAACTTCGAATTTTAGAGTTTATACGAGAAAAAAATCTCGAGTTTATTAAAGCCTTTGAGGAAAGTTGAGAGTTGTGATAATATTATTGATTAGCGATTATATTGTACCATTTTGATTTTCAAGACTACGTGGTTTTTTGTTACAGTCTTTCAGTCTATTTCTAGTAACGAAGTAATTTGGAATCAAATGCAACAGGTAAACCATTTCAAAAATATGACGCGGAAGCTATAAACGAAATATTGTCATTTCGTGGCCGGTGAGTATTTCGAATTTCAGCCTCGTATCAAATTGTATGTTTCAAAAAAATTACATTGCCGCGCGGGAAAAAGTAGCTGCCGCAGCTAAAAACCGCACGTGGTAACTAAAGCCAACGGCACACGAGACCATTTTCCCTACTGGATTGCTTGCGAGAGCCAGGATTTAGTCACCTAATCTAAAGCTCTGCGTCCTTATTGATTCTCGTAAGGAATCCAGTAGGAAAAACAGTATCGTGTGCCGTTGGCTTCAATTTCAGTTGTAAAATATGGACAGCCAATATTCAGTTGTGATAGCTGATATTTTGCTACTGTGCCTATTTGCATTAGGTGCGACAGCAAACCGTTTGCTGTGGTTTAGAAATTTATAGTTACGGCAGCAAAACATTTTTAGCAAATCGTGATTAGCTAAGGTAGCGAAAAAACTTGTTTTCGGTGCTTAACATATAAACATTACCGCGGCGATGTGTAAACGATCGGCTGGAAGTTGGAGTTACATAACAGTCTGTAGTTTCATAGGCGTTTGTACAAAATGTAATAATGCCTAATCCTAGCTAATTGGTCCGACGTCATTTTGTAATTCCACTTCTGCAAATGATGGCTGGATTGAGACAGGTGTACGGTAATTGGAATGTAAGATTTTATGCAATTATTAACGTAATCGCTTACGTGCAAGTCAGTGGCGTAAAGCACTCGATTTCGAGTGTCTGACATAATCGCGACGAATGATAAGCTTGCTTCGAAAAATTGTCAAGTGTTTCATTCGAGATTTTTCCCTCGTCTCTCCGCCTCTTCGTCCGCTTCAACGTTAATTACGAACGAATCTTTAACGAATATTACGAATATCGAACGACAATAACGTGATATTTATGAGGACAAGCAATGAGTAAATCGCTAATAAATAAAATATCAATTTTATTTACCGATCGCTTTCAAATTTCTGGCACATGGTGCGACAGAAAATGCGACTTGACCGCAGTTTGTCGCAGTTATCGAAGGCCAACGGCAGTATCGGTTTCTAGCGTCACTTAAAAGTAATTATCTGTTAACAACGAGCGACTTTGCCGATCGATCGCGAAAAGATAGAGGGTTTTCGAATCGAGTTGCTGGGCCGGGTCGAGTATAACGGAGTGTGGAGGCTGAATTTCATTTGGTTTGGCTGGTTTCTCTGTGACACTTACCTTGAACACGGGGGCGGTTTCGTCGTGCCCGTGTTATCCGCGATAGCAGTGCTCGGAAGAACGACGAGGAACGTGAAGAGCGCAGCGTGCACCACAGGACGAAACATCAAAACGGAGCATGTCGAAACCATGGCCATTTCTTTCGCTCTCGACTACCGGTTTTCGGTGCCCCTCCGTCCCTTTTATTCTCTCGGTTTCGTACTACTTTACGTGCGTGCGTGTACGATCTACCCTCTCCTCCTTCCTTTTTGTCTCCTCACGTCGCCGTGTCGATCGTACGTATTCGCGATTCGATTTTACGCTACACAGGCACGCGCGGAGAAGCACGCGCGCATCACTCTTTCTCTTGAGGTTTTATCAGGGAAAATAGCGCGAGATGAAAAACGAGAAAAAAGAGACCGACAGCACGCGTGTACCGAAAGTCAGATTTTTAACGGCGTCTTTCTCTCCGACTTTCCCCTCTCTGCTTTCTTACCGAGAACCGAAAAGCCGATCTCCTCGGCGTTACGATCGCACGCGTTTTTCTTGTTTTTGTCCTTTTTTAACGTTTTTTTCGCTTTTCCTTCTCTCTCCTCCTCTTTCACTCTTGATCTAGCAACTCTGCTTTCTTCGTTAAACGTTTCTCCCCCGTTTTGTTCCTCTGTTGTTCGAATTTTTCGTTTCTTTTAGCTTTTAGATTTGATTTTTTTTGCTTAGACCCGGCTCGATTCGAGAGTGTCTCTCGTGCTCCGTTTTTTATCTATTTTTTTTCGAGCGAGGGATACGAGGGTGATGGCGCGCGCGGGTGATGATCCTGATGCGAGTGTGATCCTTACTTTTTCGTGATCGACTTCGGATGCGGGCCCACGAACTTTCGCAGCCGGCGGGGTGGTCTCAGCTCCAACAGCGAGGCCGCATCTCCCCTGCAACAAGAAACGCAAAAAAGGCGGACGTTAGACGGGCAGGACGTCGGTAGCCTCGCGAGGGGATTTTGTCGCTGTCGCTTAATGTCGCAATCACGCACTTATGTCATTTGCATTCTAATACCTCTCTTCGTAAAAGGATTTCTCGCCGCTCTACGCGCGATTAAACGTACGCGAGGCGAACTCGGTGGGGCACGCGGACACATCGAGACATCTCGCCGAGCGAATTTAACTCTGACCATAAAATTTTACAATGCCGGACACGCCACGTGTAACACCGCCAATCTAAGTGTGTTACTTTTATACGCATATGTGTGCAATTTGATGTAGCGCTTTTCGCACGTTTCTTTCCGTTCAAAATCGCGACACGTGATATACGTCACATTTAAACATTTCTTGTCGCTCGAAGAGTCTTTTTAAACGGCAAGTGACGTATATCGAGTCACGTGTCGCGATTTTAAACGGAAGGAAGCGTGTAAAAAGTGCTTCGCCAAATTATACACACATACGTGTATAAAAGTAACACACTTAGACTCGCAGCGAAGCAATTCGATGCGATCGAACATCGTCACTTTTGACAAGCGGTACTCACGGAAAACGGAGAAACCTCTCCAACGTACGCGTGACTGTTCGTTTTCTTGCCGCGGTTTTTACGTCAAGGAAACGTAGAGTCGTCCCCGCGACAACATAATATCAGAACCGGTAAATCGATCGCCGTACTCTCATTAGCTAACTGCATGCTGAGTCCGTAACTGCACTCAGCGCGTTTGAATTATGCGGCGAGCTGCGATTTGTGAGTCACATTAAAATAATTGGGTATGCATTACTGCGCCGATCATTAGGACGATAAATATGAGGAACGATCCTGCGGATCGATCTATCGCGATGAATTGTTCGCGAGTAACACGAGCGCGTGAGAGAGAGTCACTTCTGTTGCGATCTGGCGAATAAACATAAGTGTAATACACAGAAGGAAGTAAGGGCCATCGCGCACAAAATTGCATAGTTGCATATGCATAGCACAAGACCGTCTAGACCAATAAGTACGTTACGTAAATCAATATGGCGATTCAATCCTCGATGTTCATTGGTTTAAACGGTTTTCATGCTATGCACATGCAGCTATGCAAGTTGTGTGCGATGGCCCTAATTCTTTGTTAACCTCACAGTCCACATTTTGACGCCAGATTGCGATAAAGTTTCCCCGATTTTCGCGAGCGAAGTTGACCTCGACGAGGAACCTTGAACAATTTGAAACATGTCTCGGAGTATTAATTCGAAATATTGTACTTGGACTCTGCAAATTAATGTATCATGTGTCGTAATTAATTAACGCGTTACAACAGATACCTGCGTATGGATAAACAGTCTCTCGAGCCGCAAATTTTGTATAATTTATCGCAATCGGTTCAACATAAATGCACTGAAGATCCCGAACGACGATCGGGAAACTAAATGTGTGACAATGATCTACTGGTTTCATCAAGAATTTGAGAAAATTAATCTCAAATTTGAATTACTTTATCATATTAAACAAATAATAATGCATAAGGCTCTAATGTTAAAGCACAAATACGAAGTAATAAAGGATATAACAGCTGCAGGACAGGATGTTGGTGTCTAAATGATTTTAATTTTTAAATTCATTGCGAAAAATTTACCAGAGTTTGAACCTGGACCTTCCTCTCGCTAGGCGGGCGTCCCACCACTTCGATCGCCGAGACTCGATCCGAGCTGCACGATCACATGCCTCGGTGGTCGAATTGGTGAGACGCCCGCCTAGTGAGAGGGAGGTCCAGGTTCAAACCCTGGTTGAGGTAAATTTTTCGCAATGAATCTAAAAATTAAAATCATTTAGACACTTCGTATTTGTGTCTTCACATCAGAGCCTTATGGATTTAATTAATTGTTATAATTATTATATGTTATAGAATTTATATAGTAAGAATTACTTTATAATACACGCTATAATGTTATTAAAATTTAACGATTTAATTTTCTCGAGTGCTTAAAAAGAAATTAGTTACGACACGCTCGTTTAATGGCTTAATTTGAGAAGATAAGCGCACGACGAGAGATTCACGGTAAGATCTTTGATAATCAAAGCTGATACGAAATTCTAGATTACGCGCAGCTGCGAGATCTCAACCGCGAGCCTCAAGACGCGTTTTATTTTCTGCACGATCGCACGCCGTTGAAACGTGCGTACGTATCAGCGACATGCTCGTTAAGTTTGTCAATACCGGTCACCAAATTGACATCACTCGCGCTTATTTCCGTCCGTAAATGGCACCGTGGCTACATTTAGCCACGGAGCAACCACGAGTGCGATACGTGTCACCTGTCTGTTCGCGGTGCGATACACGCATTAAGGAGGCGGATAAAGTAAAGTCTGTATTAAGTGACTGTCGAATGGTATCGAACGATCAATTTCGCGACAGATTGCCGCGATATCAGAATCCTCTCTCTTTCTCTCGATGTGAAAATTTGAAAAAAAAAAAAGAAACAGTGTGCGGTCGAACCTTTTACAATTCTACCTTCCAGTTTATCGCGGAAACACAGCCGTGAACATCTTCCCGCGATATTTGCATGCTCAGCGTGCGCTCTGGAAGGTTAATAGGACAACTGGTGATTCCGAATACGTCGCCCGAGATCGATTATCCGATCGACGCCGGTTTATCGACCGACGCGACCGGCGCGAAATTATACAAATTGACAATGACAATGTCGTCACGTGTCCAGCCGTGATAAGGCGATCCGTCGTAATCGTAGGAAAATTCTACGAGATTGCAACGAACGAGAGCACCGGCTGCAAATAAAGTAATTGCGTCCAATCCCCGCTTAAATCTTATCTCGAGGACCTCGGGAGAACGATAAAAGTTATGGTAAGTCAATAATTACGATTATCGTCGCAACGAGAGTGTCTCCTGACGCGACGCGCGAATGCGCGCGTAACTACTTACGGGATGCGCACGAGTCAACCTTCGCGTATCTTTCCAATCTCCCGGCGAGACCAGCCTCGCACGTAAGGCACCGCTCAGCGCTAAATGCTTTTCCTTCGGTCCGCTCCTGATCGAGCGCCAGCTCGTCGCGCGTAAAATTATCCCTCGCGAGCGGTAACGGATCGAGGCGGCGGGATCTAGTGCCGCGCTGGTCTAATTGCAGCCACCGATGTTCGTGGACGACGAGACACCTCTGCGGTACGGGAAGCAAGACGGAAAGAGGAACCGGGAAGAAACGGCAGAGGAAGAAGAAGGTGAAGAAGAGCGAAAGAGGAAGGGAGGGAAGGGAGAGTTACGCCGACGATGCACTAGCCTCTCTCTCTCTCTCTCTCGCCTTCTCTCTCCTACCGATGGGGGAATCCGACGACTCCTCAGCTCCGGCAATGCACACGGTGCAGCGTGCGTCGTACGACTGATTCGCGCGTCCCACGCGGCCTGCCTTTTAAACGGCGTTACGTCACGCCGCGCGCGAGTCGAGCCTCCGGCCGCCGATTCGACGGGAGCGGCGCGACGGCCGCGACGATTGGCCGGCGCCGAGACACACACCCCGCGCCGGATTCAAATTTCTGATAGCGAGAGTCGCGGAGTCGCGCGCGCGCGCAAGAGAGAGAGAGCGAGAGATCCGGATCTGTGGGAGAGATATACTCTCCGCTGATGCTGCGCGCGTTTCGGGGAACGAAAACGGATCCGTGTTGCGTGTCGGCCGGGTGACAATGACCGGGGGATTACATCGCGGCTACCGTAGACGCGCGCGACATTTTTCAGATGTCGCATCTTTGACGGTCACGGGAGATGGGCGTCTGAGACTCGCTGGAAAGAAGCTTACGAAGCTCCCAGACGTAGGGACGTAACGTACTTCGGATACCCGAGCGCGTATCTTAAATGTCACTTTTGACATAGGCACGTCTCGCGATAAGCCCGAGTTACCTGCATTAAAATTGCAGAATCTTTCGCAATCGGTGACGTTCGTATCGAACTAGTCTTATACTCGAGCTATCCTGCGCGAGTTAGTAAAATTATATGAAGGATATTATTAGACCTTACTTGCGGATAAGAAAATGTCAGGATGGGAGAAGGAGACCACGTGTGTTAAACGTTAACCGAGCTCTGACGTCTTCGCCCGTAATTTCTCCGTAGTCAACGGGTACCCGTGACGTCGGTCGCTCGCGCAAATAGTGAAAGTGACCGGCAGGAACGTACGAAATTGCCGACAACTTTGCACAATTGACGAAAACGAACGTCGGAAGCGACGCCTGAACGCAATGTATTTGAGTAACCGGTCATGGCCGCAGGCAGAGTCACTGAACGAAGGGTCGCTTTCCTTTCCCTCCAAGTTAATTCGCTCGAGACAAGGTAGGAATTTCACGAAAGGCCGTGACAAAACGATCGGTCGTTTCGTGCGGGTAAAAAGTAGGCCGGGCGCTACGGTTCACTGACAGCCAGCGAAAATATGCTCCAAGGTTACATCAACCAGGCTCCGAAGGAAGATTAATTATGCCGATAGAACGTACTCCGGGAAGAAAAAGACAGCAACCCATTTTGGGGCCCACAATTAGTAATCGAACTATTTGGATTGTTCGTAACTCTAAGCTTTTACGAATTTTACCCCGCGTAACTAAAAGTTAGCTATTCTATCTATATCCAAGATTTAAGTAATACTAATCGACTCTCTCAATTAGTTCTATCGATATTCAGTAACGCAGAGATACTTTTCATGCACTAACCGAAATGTTAAGTTGTTTAACTACAAAAAAACGGTCAAAAGTTTTTCCAGATTAGAATTACGAACAATCCAAACGATTCGATTACTAATTGTGGGCCCCAAAATGGTTACTAACTGTCTTTTCTTCTCAGAGTACGAATATCGCGAACAAGTCGCGAGTACCGGCGTGGGACGCCGCGGTCGACATACCGCAATCGCCCTTTCGTCGCCGACGATAATCGTATCGGCGGAAATCGTGACGGTCAAATAGAAGAAATGCGCACAGCTATTCTCGC